TGCAGTGGGCATTATTAACAATGTTCAATATTTTGTAGACCCGATTATAGCATTGACAGCATGTTATGGCAGCATTTTGTCTTGTCTTGTCAGAGCTGACAGGCCATGCTAGGAAGGCTGTATAATCATGAGGAACTCAGAACATGGACTACAGGATTAACAACATATCTGGTTCCTCCTTCTCTTTGGTGATTTCTGTTAAGTGCACACTGTTTCCCTCTCCCCAAGTCACAGTACTTTGGCCACCAGAAATACCACGGACAGATATGATATACTACAAGAGCCCAGGGAAACTGTAATGGGATTAATCACGGGTCAAAACCAAAAACATTGAATTGCCACTCGAGTATAAAAAAGGAAGGTAAAGAAGGCCCTTTTCTAAGTTTTCCCTTAGATACCTACAAATATAATTGATACACTATATTGAGTAAAAATAGTTGAGTTTTGGCTAGATTATTTATCTAGCTTTTTTGTTTTTAGTGTGTCATATGTTAAAACATCTCAACAGATCAAATCGTTATCAGTCATTTGGTTAAACAATCGACCCACGATGAACCCTCTGTTTATTTGGATGAAATCCCACAAATGAAAATATCTACTATGTCATTATATTCTATTAATTACTTCTAAAAGTGTTATTTTCATAAACAAGTTGGCTCTACAGGATTATTAAATAGTTAATAATAATAATAATTATTAAGAGTTAATAGCCGCTTTCACACCAAGTACTTAGCCGTACTTAGTGCCGGCACTTAGTGCCCCGGCACTTGGTACCCCAGGGCAGTGGCGTAACAAGGTTGTGATTGGCCCCGGTGCAAATATTGTTTTGGGCCCCCCCATCGCCCCAAACATAAGCGCACGCTGATGCGCTCACACACGCACGGACATACACAACCACTCAGAAGCGCCACATGTATAGGCTATCAACAACAGCCTGCCCTGGCCTCAGACCACCACAGCCTGACAATGGCACAGCGAACTAAGAAGAGGATTACACCTGTTTCCTTGATGTTTGTCTCTGGGGAATGGGCCGGTAGGCCTACATGGACCGGTTGCTATATAGCTTTTGATCTTGGCGTCGGGGGTCTCAATAGCGCCATAGAGTCCCCTATCGGTTGGGGCCCTTTGGGGAACTGTTGGACCACCGCCGGGCACAGCCAAATCCAGCCTCTCCTCCTGGCTGGCTGGAGAAGAAGGTTGCACAGCCACAGCCACGGATACAGCTTCACTTGTGGAGCGAGATGGCAATGATGGTGGTGAGGCAGGTGAGCTATCGTTAGCCTCCGGCTCCGGCTGCCGCTGCACGTCAACATTGCTAACGTTAGCGCTCGATTTCGAGGACGATGTATGACAAAAAAACCTGTCTAATTTCGTCAGTTTAGCTGTTACATCTCCTTGTTGTCTCTTGTCCTTTCTCTTTTGAGCGCCGCTCTTGTGCTTTGGTTTGCTGTACATTATAAATGCAAGCTATTACATTTTTTATAATGCTACCGAACTTGCTGCTGCTAGCTACAGTACAGTACAGGTTGATTAAACGGTTCACTCGTCACGCAAGGTATCACAGACAAATTACAAATTAATTTAGGTTGCTTGGTTACTTTGAAGACTGGGCCCCAAAAAAAAATATTAAAAAAATATATATATATATATTTTTTTTTGCATGGGCCCCTGGCCGGCTTTGGGCCCCGGTGCGTTGCACCGGCTGCACCGTCGATAGTTATGCCACTGCCCCAGGGCACTAAGTACCAATCACATTCACACCCAAATAAGTTCCCTGAGGGAAGATTTGCAAATGAGCCGCCGACCAGAGTTCCCGTTAGAATATTCTTTTGCCGGTCAAAATGTCCGTTAAAGTTGAAATCTTCCGGACAAAATGAGAAAAGTGCCGGTCAAAGGTCTTCTTTGTTATTTATTGAGCTTTAAAACAAATTGATATGATTCGATATTAAACAAACTAATTATAGTAGATTAACTACATTATTCAAAAGTGTACAGTAACTTACAAAAACGCGGGAATAATAAACGGAGCGCTCTCTCCTTCTCCTGACAGCCCGTCAGTATCATGCAGCTCGCGGATCCAGTAATGAGTGACTCGACAGTAAAACTAAACGTATCTATAACTAGTTTAGGTAGTTTGAGAGGTAATTAAAATAGCTACGTGTGATGTTCTAACCTGAAGTGTGTTTTGCTCTGCTCGCCGCTGCAGGGGATCATGCAGAGCTGCGTGTCGACTCGTCAGCAGCAGCCGATCTCTCTCTCCCGTCAGATTAGACTTTACTCGCGTTTATGTCCATATCGATCAGATCCAGCTAGTTCTAGCTAATGATATGACTACCTGCTTATCAAGACACCTAAACAATAAGCGTCGCTATGCAACCGGGTGAGGACGCAAAGTATAGCGCAGCATTATGCATTTGTTTACATGCCCACCGGAACCCCGAGGCATTACCAACAGATCAACGCACAATCAACCCATACAGGACATCTCTTTCTCCACATTAAGTGTTAGACATTAGAATTGACTATTCTTGTCTGTCACATACTCTTTTGTCTGTCACATACTCTTTTGTCTGTCACATAAATGGCGCAACTGATGCGGTATTGCGCTAAGGGAAAATTATTTTGACTGGACATTTTGACCGGAGAGATTTAGATTTGCCGGTCTTCAGCATATTTTACCGGTCATAGTCCGGTAATTATCGGCTAACGGGAACTCTGCCACCGATGTCACTTCTTCTTCTTCTGCTTTGGGTTTACTGGCAGGCCGCAAACAACTTCACAGCGTATACTGCCGCCGGAAGTCCCCGGCCGGAAGTCCCCGGAGTTGGGGACTGGCTTCAGTAGAAGCTGCTGGGACTCCCAGCAGCTTCTACTGAAGCCTTCAGAGTAAATCGCCAGAACGCCGACACCTCCTCATCACTCCACCGCTCCCATGTTTTTTTTTGTGTTGCCATAAGTTATTCTCTCTCTGTTGGTGCGCGGGGCTAATGCTAATAATGCTAATGCCACAAATACAATGGCGGCTTCACAAAACTTTTCAGAGTTTTACGGGGCGTGGTTTGCAATTCGCCCAGCCAATAGAAATTGGTACTTTTTTGGTACTTTTTTGGTACCACCTCTCTAGCAGGCACTAAAAATGGGGGTAAAAGTTCCCGGCACTAAGTACTCTTTTTGGTGTGAACGCAACAAATATCTTCATCACAGACACTACAGAGAACTGAGGGTATAAGTCTATCTGTGTTAGACTATACGACACTATAAACCCTTTGATCCAGGGATATTTGTATGTCCCCACATCTATATCTGTAGATAATCTTTTAATGAAATCTCTTAGCATGTACAGCACCATGTTCACATTTGAATTGGCCCACTTACTGCAGTGTAAGTGGAGTGGTTTGGTCTTATCAACTTTGTACATCCCCCCCAGTATGGCATATGATTCTAGCTGTAAAGTTCTTGCATAGCAGATTCCCTTTGAACAGCCACGGGCCAGATTGAGGCAAAATGTGTTCCTCACAAATGAAACGAAAAAAAAAGATTGGAAAAAAAAAGTAGTCAATGATATTTAAAGATAAAAACACAATCTCTGATCTGAATTAAAAATAAGTAAAGATCCATGATTCAAAAGCCAGGAATGGAGCCTATGACAGGTCTTTAAATCAAAGACAACAAAAACAATTATTCATATGTTTTGGGTAATCCTGTCAAATATTGGTTTTTAATTAAAATCGTTTTAGCACAGCAGCAAAACTTCAGTTTAGATGACGAATAGACCTTTGCTAGGGTTTCATCTTCATATCTGTTTTTTGTGAAGACATTGGTGATTTCCATAGTTAGAACATTACAGGTGGCACTTTTAAATAGGTATGTTGTCGAGGCAGAGATATCTAATAATGACTGCAAAGAAAACTGAATGAACTGAACATCTTCTTATGCTCGATGATAGCTCGGCATTAGGTCATTTAAGTCCCTCATTTAAAATCCTATCTCTCACCAGCAGTTTGTTTTTTTGCCCCCTGACTTCGACAGTGCGTAGGATGCTTACTTTCTCAGCCGCAGTCATTAGCACCTCATACTGCAGCGCTGTCTGCCACTCTGAGGAGGCTGGTTCACATTATTCAACATTATGGGAGTCAAATGTTTACAGTTACATAACTAACCCCGAGGACAAAGTGGGGTTCACCACATGCTACTTCCTGTCAAGGCGATGCTAGATGTTGATGAGTGGTTCCACTTGTTTAAAAGAGATGTCCCCCGCACCTCAACACAAGAGGACTCAGTGGGATGAGTTGTTGAAGGAGTGGAGGGTGAAGGAGTTTAAAAGCCATAAGGGTGAGGGAGTTTGAATAAGAAAGGGAAAAGCTCTATAATTCAGCAATTTTTCCTGTAAAACGCTCTATAATTCAGCAATTTGACAGGAAATACAGAACACCAGCCACCGACATCACATAACCGACGCCTCTATGATTAGACAGTATTCTTTTGTTCTGATTCACTCTTTTCAAGGCTGATTGGCTGTGACATTTTCAATATGAACAGCAATTTGACTTTCAAAGCAGTACATGGAAGCGCAATTTCGCTGCGTTTTTATATGTCATGATTGTGATGTATGAGGCCCAATTTAGTTTAAAATGGCATAGTCCATTCATAAAAAAACCATAGAAGATGCTGTCCATCATCTGCAAGAGGCATTCAGAGCTTCAATTGTTGGAGGGATGATTCATCCAATTCACACAATGGAATTTATTTAGTGGTTTTCAAAGGTCTCTACACTATCCAGAGTAACAGTATTTATAGGTTGAGATGTTCCTGTTGGTTGTTTTTAATGTCATTTTTCAGAGCTTTACAGCACACAACAAATTCAAATTTCAATTGAAGTAATCTTGGCTTAGTCCTTCTCTCAGACCTCACAGATTTAACCCCCATAATTAGTGAGATAATGTCCTAATAAAGACATACCATCCATTTGTAATACCATTTCCCTCCCCTGCTGTTTCTAGTATGTGGAGGCCATCAGCAATAAGCAGAGCGAGCTGGACAACTGCATCGCAGAGGGCTACAAGCACGCTCTGTCTGAGGAGAGGAGGAGGTACTGCTTCCTGGTGGACCGGCAGTGTGCCGTCGCCAAGAACAGCAGCGTCTACCACGGCAAGGTGAGAAAGAACACAGCTCTTCCTGTTCATCTGCTGGTGATGTCATGGCACAAATCACATTTATAGCTGTTATAGTGCTGAAGTCATAGATTTGTTGATTTCCCCATAAAAATATGTCTACAGTAGTGCTTTAGATGCTTGGATTATATGTTTATGACTGCATATTTAGGATATATTCTGTTGAAGGAAATGTATATATAGCTATTCAAAAGTCATATTATCCGGATTTGAATTTAGTCATCTAGCATATTTTTAACCTTCCTTTTAGGTAAAATATTTAGTTGAGCCTCTTTTGTGACTTTATGTTCAGCCAATCACAGAAGATGAGATGTTCCTTTGTTGATCCATTATAAGTGAATTTCAATTTGACTCCACAAGGGAATAAAGTTATCATAAAATAAAATAAATCCATAAAAACGTATACATTCAAAACAGAAGCTAATGGATACCCGGATGTAAACAGCATTGCGGACTACAGACATCTGGGTGCATGTTTTTGCCATGCTATTGTAAGGGGCTGAGAGGCAGGGTGGTGGGAGGCACCTACATTCCCAACAGGTGGCTCCACCCTCTCCCAATTAGCAGTATTGGGAGCAGGTGTGGAGACCCTCACACCTGGTGCTAATCACTCCCTCAAGGGAGACAAAGCACACAGAGCTGTTGAGTTGTGTGTGGCACCTGGAGGGAGCAGGAGGCTCCCAGGGCGTTTCTCAATGTCGAGGAAGGCTGCTCCAGAGCCACTATTTCAAGCATACTACGTCATCGAGTGCCGCCGAAGGACTGTTCCAATGTCCAGCATACTTGGAATTCTACCGAGCCCGGCGTACTTTGTAGCGAGAAATATCGAGGCTGCACATGTGTAGACTCCGCAGTCTTAAAATCCCCACAATGCTTTGCGCACGGACCAATTTCCCCAAATCTGTGGCGGAAGATGTAAGGCGGGGCCTCTCATATGACGCACACCTGCACACTTGCTAGCCTGTTCCACTCTTTGTTTTCCGAATGCCAGGAAGTATTCTTGACTCGCTTCTGAAGCAAGTAACTCGGAAGACATGTGCTACCAAGCAAGCGTACTCGACATTGAGAAACACCCCCAGAGTAAGAAGACGTTTTTGTAAGCTGGTAAGTCGGTTAGCGGCCCGGCTACGTTAGCCTTTCTGTTTTGGAAGGTATTTTTGAGTTTGGAAGCAATAAAGCTTTGCTTGGATTTAAACACTGCCTCTGTCATGATTGCTGCACTACCACTTTTCTCTTTTATCAGCCCAGTCCTGTTACACTATATACACCCGGGTACTCTAAACATTTGGATTTTGTATAGTTGTGGCTCTTTGAAATACAAAATATAGACAGATGGTTAGATAAGTTTAAACCTTATTGGTGCCAGCGAAAGTGTGTTATAGCAAAAACAGAATCAGATACAGACGCATGTCACGTAAACTCATTAAAAACACATTTCCAATCAAATGTGTAGATGTTAGCAATCAACTGTTTACATTCTGCATTTATTAGTCTATTACATTCTGGAGAAAGTTGGGCCATGCATCAGTGCCCCTCACTCATCAGGAGTTTCATATCGTCCAGAAATCTTATTAGAAAATCATCTCATCTTACCTCTTCACACCGGGGAAATGTGAAATGGTAAAGGGAAGTGTCAGAGAGAGAGGGAGGGTGAGTGGGTGAGGAGGAGGGTGAAGTGGGGGGGGGCAGCAGGAGAGAGGATGACCTACTTCCTGCAAGAACACTTGGTTCGCTGACTGTGTGGGTGTGAACGTGTCTGAATGAGTGACTGATAGACAGAGGGAAGAAGAGAACACACACTGCTGACATGATGATGCATAAACACAAGATTTAATCAGTATGAAACAACATTCTGAAGATCAGTCAAATCTTAAATATATTATAAAACATCAAAAATAAGGGATAGGAATTTAAAATGGTAGCCACTTTATTAATTGATTATTTGTTTCAGCTTTTCTCTGGTTCTAGTTTGATCTATGTGAAGATTGATGCTTTTTTGTCATATAAAGTATATTTAACTGGCTGTCTTTAGGTTTTACATTGATTTTCGAATGAAAGAAAAATTCGGAAAACATCGTCTTGTTCTGCGGGAAATAGGAATATTTAGGACATTTATAGACTAAATGATAAATGAATTGATAATGGCAAAAATAATGAGATGCAGCCTTCACTTAGAGTAACTTTTAATCACATAAGTTGCATTATAACAGTGATTAAAAATACATTTTGTTTTGTGAATTATAATACAGAATGATCCTTAGGGGAGAAAATGTCAGGAAGTCACAAGCAATTAGGAAGTTTTATATAACTTCACTTTATGAGTCATTATTACATACTTTGTATTGTCACGATTGATGATATAAAGCATTGCAGCTTTAATTAAAAAGAGATACAAGCAGAATACTGTATGTCTATTGTGCATTATAGACATGGGATTACTGTATATAAAGTGGTTCCCTTTGCTTTAGTTAAGGTATTTAATTCATGTTGCATGTTTTCAGAGACGTTGCTAGAATGATACTAGGTTGTTGTCATGTCAACCATAGACGTTCAGTAGATTATAACCCAAAGCGACAACAAAATATGAATAACCCATTACCATTTTTCCAATAGTAGAAAGTAAAAACCTTTTGCAATGCAAATACTTAAAGCTTAGTATCTTATACAGTATACAGAAAAAATGCTAATCCACCTACACTCACGGAATTGGTCGTTTCGTCGTAGTCAATTATACATGTTTCATGCTGGATCACTTATTTTCATGAATCACATATCTGATTAAAACACGATTTAAAAAGGTGCTTTTTTCATGGTTCTTTTTGGAGAAATAGATACATCAATTGAATTAAATTGATAAAACTCTTTATTTAATTGTGGACAGCTCTAGTTACCATATATGTCTTTTGAAATGTTTTACGAGAAGCTATCTTTCCTTGTTGGGTACATTTACACGTTGGCAAATCTCCCACACATTCAGTTCCTGTAAGAGAGAGGTTCTCCTGTGCTAGGCAAGAACGAGGGAGAAAAGAGCCACAGTCTGCTAGTCAATTTAATTATCACACTGGTAAAGGCAGCTTCCCACCTACGCTCTGCCTTAGCGATTCAGAAGGGCTAACTGAGGTCGTGGTGACTCATCATTTTTTACAAGTAGCAGGAGAAAGACTTTGCTGCATAGAAAGAGAAGGGTGGCATCCAATCCCTCGTGTTTTCCACCAATCTAGCTGGAATTAGTCGAGTTTTTCTGTGACGGAGAAATCATTTCAGCTCTAACCTGAATCCCAGGTGACATAATGCTCAGTGTTGGTATGAGTTTGTGTTTGCTGTATATTTGTGTTAATTTATTTGATCATCCCACCCACACTGTGATACCTGAAGCTCCCGCCCACACACTCTCAGAAAACCTTGGCCCCTCACCGTGATTATCCTCCTCTCCATCCTGCTGGAGTTAAAAGTGTTCCAGCAGCGGATTATCTATACTTCAAATATTCATGGGTTCAGAACTCCTCATTTATTCCATGTTGATGAATGCTAACGAGAAGTATCTTTATGTAACTGCGCTACGCATTCATACATAGGTTTCATATCCTCCATCTCATCTCTCTGCTGATGTGTACTGTATGTTCCTCCACTTCTCCCTTTTAAGCTCTCCATTGTCATCCATCAAATACTGCTGCTGAAATATAAATAATGTGATGCTATGTTGATGTCCATAGGGAAAGTCCATCAAACATTTACAAAGACAGTTCTACCTCCTGATGTTGCATATCTTTTCTATCCTCTTTTTCTACGGGGCCAACAGACGAGTGGTTCATTTGGTTCACTTGTTAAAGAGGAATTAGCATTGTGGGATGGGGAATGCGTTTCCTTTTTTAATATTGTTATGAACAATTTTCAAACTGTTTTCTTTGAATAGAAAATGTGACAAATCATATGAATTAAAATAAATGTTTTATCGATTGATATTCGAAAAGTAATTTTAGTATTTAAGTATGTAAACATTAAAATGTTAGAAATGATAATCTTAATAACTTGACACAATAACAAAATGAGATGCAGAAAAACACAATTAAATTAAAATAAGTAAATAAAACATGAGTAATGATACCAGTATAATGAGAACCAAATAAAGATAGCTCTTTAATTTGTTTAAAATAAATGTGTAGAGTATATTTGAGCTCTTCTGTTTCTATCAAATCAAACAAAATAAAGTTTAAAAAATGTGCAAAAGTAGTATAGTAGCTTAAACTTGACATCCAGTGAAATCAACCCAAATGGGGAAATATATGTGATTCCCCACTGCAGTCAGCATGTCGTTGTGTCCCTGAGACACTTCACCCCAAATTGCTCCTGTGGGGATTGCCCACAGTATTGAGTATGTAAGTCGCTTTGGATAAAAGCGTCTAACAAGTGACATGTAATGTAATATATCAGCAGCATAACCTAACTATTCTCTCATTTAAAAAAACAAAAAACCTAACCCCTCTTCTTTCTTTTTTTTCAGGGGAAGGAGCTTTTAACCCAGAAGATCCCAGCGTGGCAGCAGGCGTGTGCCGAGCCCAACAAGCTGCCGGACCGGGCCATGTTCCTGGCCCAGCAGATGAGCGGGGTTGCGGGCGCCATGGTTCCCATCACACATCATCCAGGCATGCCCCTCTCCGAGCCCCTCGCTGGGCCTAAACCCCTGCCAGTGCCCCCAGAGCTGGCCGCCCTCAGGGCCAGTGGAGGCATGGGACAGCAGGTCGGTTCCTCTAGCCTTAAAAATTCATTTAGTCATACCTGTGCCCACTGCAGTATTTATAGACATTTAATAAGATAGTAGGTTTTTATAGAAACAGTAGCAATTTAATGTTCCAATGCAATTGTTTCCTTGGTGTGTGGATCCATATAATGCAATAAAATCATATATTTTTTCTAGAATGCTTCACAAAAGGGCTGCAACTACTTATTCATTATACATTTTTTAGCCCTTGAAACTGTTGTCGCTACATGACAATGTACAGAATAACAATAATAATTTAAGACAGAATAACAGCCTCAGAGGCTGGAAAAGCAAACATTCTGAAATGGTTTATTTATTTCTGCTTGAAAAGTTACTAAAACGATAGATATATTCTCAAAAAGGTGCCTGTCACTTTTCTAAATACTGAATAGTCAATACGTTTGCTAGCCATTGTGAGGCTCATATCCCATATAATGCATTCCCTAGCCCTAACTTAAGGTAAAACCTGCCTCAGAACTAAAGCCCTTCAACTTCAACTTAAAGGGGCCCTATTCGGCTCATTTTGAGGTTCATATTTATATTTTGTGCCTCTACTGGTTTCATGGTTTCATGGTTTCAAGGCTTGTATTGGTCTTACGTGCATAGCTACAGTGTAGTTATGATGATGAAAATCTTAGGTCACAGGCTCCTCCAACAGTGCAACACAATTAAACTGATAAACACAAGAAAATAGTGCAAGTAATTAGTAAATACAAAAGGAAAAATAGTCGAAATAGTGCAAGTGATTGGAATGATATATTAGATAAATAATTTCTAAGTAGCAGCCAGATAAATGTTATGATGTTGTTTCAAGTTCAGGTGTTTAATAGTCGAAACAATATCATAACATTTATCTGGCTGCTACTGTGACATGTCTCCATGCTTTAATGTTCAAAAAGCTCTTTATTGTTCTCATACTGCCTGTGCTGCAGCACCTCTTTTCACCCTCTGTCTGAAACCAGAGCCCAGTCTGCTCTGATTGGTTAGCTGGCCGGCTCTGTTGTGATTGGTCAAACACTTAGAGATGTCCCGCCCCTTAGCCATGTGTTGGCGCACTAGCTTATACAATTGCGAGTTCTACATAGTGATGTCATTATGTTAAGGAAGTAAACAAAGGAGTCCAATGGAAGCTTTTCAGGCAGGGGGGAGTGTGTGGGAGAAAATCTCCCTCTGGATGGAACCTATACAACACATCAGGAAAGGGAAAACCCCAAAAAGCATAATTGGGCCCCTTGAATGAAGTCTTAACCTTCGAACAGCCCTTGAAAAAGTGAGAGCAAGTGAATCCAAAATGTCCTCCATGGTTAAAAATTCTAATCGACTCTCATGAAGTTAGAAGCACCCAAACACAGCTGAGTGCTGTCTAATAGGATTCTTAATAAGTACCTGGAGTGTGTCGAGGACTGTTGGCCCCGGATGTGACTGTTGCATCATGGGAGCCCTCAGAGCATCCTCAGGCAACTCTTGTGAATGCAAACTAACTTGTTGGCGAACCATGCTAATTAGCTCGTTGCACAGAAAATAACTTCCTCACTTTCCGGGCTCTCTCTCACCCTGCCCCTCCGGCAGGCCTGGCTCCTGAAGAAAAAGAAGCTAACTTCAAGATTTGATGAAAGACGCCTCAGTTTGGCTCGAGCTTTTAATTAAAAAAACCCCGGTACAAATTCAGTGGTGTTTTATGTTCCCAGATTAAACACACTTTGAAAGTCTTTGCCGTCTCCCAGTAGTCATTCCATATGTTAATCTTTAAAGCACCATACATTCATTTATAGTATTTTCATTAACCAGCATTTCCTGACCTCGATCCACTCTCCATCTTGTTCATTATTATTAATGAGCTGTTGGGTGTTATGTAACAGCTTTAGGTAAAGAGAGATGAGTTTTCTAATTGCCTGTATGCTAATGTCCCCATCTCTGCAGAGGCTGATGGGAGGTGTGGACGGGGGGATGCCGGTGGTGAACGGCACAGCGGGGGCTCACGGAGGGGAGGACTACCAGCAGTGGATGGAGGGCAAGGTAGCCCAGGGGAAGGCCTCCCCCCAGACCCAGCGGCACGGGGGGGAGGTGTACTCCAACACCCTGCCTGTGCGCAAGGTCGCCCCCGCCAAGAGCAAGACCACCCTGAGTAAGGACACGTATTGTTTATTTGGCAAGGGATTTGGAAGGATGAAGAACACCAGGAACAGTTAATGAAAGCAGTTTTATAGTTAACTTTACATAGGCATACTGCGTGTCATAAATGTTTTTATACTTTGACTTTGACTATACTTCCATAAGTCTCTAATCTCTCTAGAGATGTGCACAATTGATCTATAAAGCAAAAAATGTTATACAAAAATACGTATCTAGAGGTTGTTCCATAAAAAAGAAAGTACAAGCTAAGAGTAATGAGCATATATAGAATATATAATCAGAAAAAAAGAAAGCAAAACAAAAATATATACAACCCTAAAAAAAAAGTTCATTTCAGGAATCCTTTTGAAAAGGTCAGTTAAAACGTGTAATACCAAAATAAAAAAGATATCCTTAAGGATGGTAACAAATATAAACTGATTATTGAGCACTGGTATTTATATTAACATTTGTTTGTGACTTTTTGCGCATATAATATACATATATTTTATTTTGCTTATTTTTTTCCTTTTTTTATATATTTCTAAATATATTTTATTAATTAATTGACAATTTTTCAAAAATAATTAATGTAAAAAGGGTTAGGGTAATAAGCCAAAACTTAAGCCTAGGCTTTTTTTTATCAAAGCAAATATTCTATATTACAGTAGGTGGTATTTATTGAGAGAGTTATCGCATCTAAAAGATAAAAGCCATTAAAAGAGCTATTGGAATACATCTACCTGGGTGTCTCCTAACCTGTGGAGTTTTAATAAAAATAGTCCAAAGTAAGCAGGATTCCAAGGAGATGTGATATTAAAAAGGAGAAAGGGATGTTAGAAGTAAAAATAGATATAGGACAAGGAGGACATTTGAAAAAAAGAGATTCAGAAACTGGAGTATATGCAGCTACTGTGGCTACACATCATGTTATACACTGTTTATTAGAGAAAGGGAGACTCAAAGCTCTCTCCCCCCCCCCCCCCCTGTTATCCAGCGGAGACCCGCACCCTGCCCCGGTCCAGCTCCATGGCAGCGGGGCTGGAGAAGAACGGCAGGACCCGGGTCCAGGCCATCTTCTCCCACACAGCCGGGGACAACAGCACCCTGCTCAGCTTCTTCGAGGGTGACGTGATCACCCTGCTGGTCCCCGAGGCCCGGGACGGGTGGCACTACGGGGAGAACGAGAAGACCCGGATGTGAGTGACTCTGAGCTGCAGACTGTACAGTGAGGCATAGCCAAAATAACTCATAACTCCACAGATTCTAGTTGAATTTGGTGGAAAATCTGGTGGAAAATCATGCCATTGCTGTTTCATAAATAAAAAATGGTATGTATTTATTTAGCCCAAAATAATAAAACCCATTTGTCTCTTTGAAGTTTGAACAAATCAACAAACCTGAATGACAGTGTAATGAAAAAAAAATACAACATGTATCCCATTGACGTGTTAATGTAAAATACACTTTGAAAAAAAAAGTTAATTAAAAAAAATATATAATGTAGGACAAGGTGGATATTTACCTTTACCCCCTACTTTATATAAAGTATAAATATACTAGACCTGCCGTAAGGAATATTCTGTGAATTCCACGGATTTAACACATTTTTCCACCATATTTGATACATCAAAGTTGGATTTGATTCTAAAAAGTTGTATATTATTTTGCTAATATCTGGTGCCTCCTCACCCCTTCAGGCGTGGCTGGTTTCCCTTCTCCTACACCTGCGTGATCTCTGACGGGGACAGCAACTCCATGAGGCAGCTCCGAGTACACAAGTATGTTTTGGAGATTTGACTCTTGTACAAAGAGAATAAGTCATTACCTCACTGATCATTACCCACAATCAGTTTTGTAGACATATTTATATGCTTTTGTGTCATTTTTTATAAAATTGTATTTACCTATTGACATCTTATTTTCATGAAACTTCATTATTGACTTTTTTTTATTTTATTTTACAATTATAATGATACTGATTGACCTGAGAGCTTGTCATTTGTAAAACCTTCTTGTGAACAATTGAGAATTAAACAACCAATAATAATAGGTACTGTCAAAAGCAACCACCCACTGATGTCTCCCCTGCAGGTAAACACCCACACGTTGGTCCCTGATTGGACCAAGAAGCATTCATTCAGGGGAAAACATGTTTATGTCCTGATGTTTTCCACTCCTGTGTTTCCAGCCTCCACGGGAAGAGCAGCAGCACGGGGAACCTCCTGGAGAGAGAAGACATGGCGGTCCCTGATTACGGCGTCCACTCCCACATGGCGGCACAGAGCGCTGCTGCGCTGCACGGCAGACAGCAACGCCCCTACAGTGTGGCCGTGCCAGGCTTCCCACAGGTGGGGGGTCCGCAAAACAAGCACACAAACACACACTCTGACACACACCCACACACACCCACAGATGACACACAAGCTAAGCCATCGCACGAATCCTGGCAGAGATCAGCACTTGTCTGTCTCAGAAAGTTTAGAAGTAGCTTTTCCCTGTGTGCTGCTGACCTGAGATATACAGGAATAGCTTTGCTTTGACAGGCTGTCTCTTCCTTTACAAGTACTCTGAGTATTTTTCTGCCAAAGCTAGCAGAAGACGCCCCGCTACATTAGCTTACGTAGACACAGATATCCGTTCTCGTTCACTTCACATGTCCCTGTTTACGGGAGGTTGAGATGTGGCACAGCTCAGATTGGAGCAGTTCACTCTGCTGCCCCGCTGAGGGAAGAACTTCTGACAGACAGTTGATAACAGAAGAGGAGGAAGAGAGAAGGTTGCCGTGGCAATAAAGGAAGGAGGGTTCATTTTATAAAAAAGGCAAAACCAGAAGTGGACTTATGCAACACTGAACCTGTCCTTCCTACGCCTCACCTGGAACATCACATGTGGGCGCAGCTTAATTGCTCAGCAGTCATGTAACAACTTAAACTGCCTCTTCCGCCTCACTGCCTGTAGGGATGGGAACATGTCTGCTGACATTCAACACGTTTTTATTTAGATTTATGTGCACCTGGAAGTGTCTGCAATGCTTTGAGTTGATCATTTGTAGGCCTAAGTTTTTGTAGGTGGTTACAACTTCCAAAATCATTTAATTGAGTATATTTGAATACGCATTTAGGATTGATTTCACATCACTGATGAATAAGTACTAAAAATGGTCTTTTAAATATTGATTAACGGACATAACTGACTACACAAAAGTAGTAGTAGCAGTGATTTCCCAGCTTCTGTAGGAAAAGCCTTATAAGGTCACTGTGAGACTCTGTTGTATCCACCGTGTTGCTTTGCTGCCACCTGCAGGCTGCTGTGGTCATTGCACTTATCAGTTTTCTTTAAACTGTTAGAACATTATTTTTAATGTTGGTTTATAATAAAATATGTCTTAAATAAATCATCTGTCTGTCTTTACAGCAAGGAGCTGAAGAGTACGAGCCCCGCTTCCCTACAAGGTAAGAACCACTTGTTGTTAATACGTTTTAATGTTGTAATGATATAAAAATCAAGTTTAATTCATGTTCAGTAAGTTCAAGCAGACAATCATCAAGAATGTGTTTTTGGTAATGGCTCTGGGATCTTCCATATTGGCCATATATTCAGTATGTTGAAAAGCAGAAGAGGAGTTGAGGGACACCACATTTGTTTTGTGTTTGTTTTACCTTTGTGTTCTTTTATGTTTGCATTCTCTTCTGTTTGCCCTCGTTTGATAGGATACGATAAGTAATCAAATAATATAGTGTTTATACTGCATATTGGTAGAAGACCATTTGTGTTATTGGTTAGTTTGGTTTCTGTCAAAAGCTTAAGTTGGATTAAGTTTTCTTTTTGTTAACAAAACACCCAAGCTTTGACCTCCCAGCTCCTTCTAATGCTCCACCCATGCACCATGCAGCTTCAGTAGCGCTTCCACCTGCTAACTGCACACCCACCCAATCCCTGTTAGCTCACCCTGCTTCTTATTCATGGTTCATTTATGGAATAAGTGACCTTATAGTATGGGGTTCATTTCTCATGTTGGAGGGTGGATGTAGCTCCGCCTCTCCTTGTCCTGGTTGTGTTTGCTGCTGTTTTTCCTGAGCCAGCCCACCTGGAAGTCTGTTCCTCTCTCTGTCCACAGTTCCACAGAGGGCAAATTGATTTCGACAGTGTGAGGACAGACAGACAGACAGACACTGAGCCTGACGATGCGATAGGACTGTCCTCGCTGCCCCTCAACCAACCCCCCACCACCTCATCCTCACCCCCTCTCCCCCGCCTCCTAACCTCCAGTTTACAGCAATAAACTCTCCCTGAGCCAATCAATGCAAGGAAGAAGCTTTGGTCTGTATCTCCCCCCCCCCCCCCCCCCCCCCCCCCCCCCCCTCTCTGATCTCCCTTCTTCCTCCCCCCAACCCCGCTCTGAGCTAACTGGCCAACAGGGGGCCACTGGTGAAGCCGAAACCAGAACAATACAGACTGTGCCATCCGAATAATCAAAATCAATGGGATGGACATTTTCTCTGAGGAAACTGTATCTTTTGCTTGTCTTTCATGCATGTACATTTCTTTTACATATCGCTGGGGATTATATTTCCTCACCAAAAGGAACCTGATTTCCACCAATGTAAGTGCTCTTTCCACCAGAGTGACAATGTGAAGGATATGTGAATCAGGGTGTGAAATGAAGAGGATTTATCGTGTATAAAAAAAAGGCATTACAATGGATATTTAACAATACTTTGAACCTTTTCATGCTGTGAGGTTTTGTATTCCTCTGACATAAGAGGCCATGCATCACGAGAAGTGAACTGCTCATGTAAATGTGTTGTGAAACAGAGACTACAGTATGTGATGGGAATGTTAACTGTACATAAATGTGCCATACAGAAGTACTTGTCATAAAGTATCTATGAGTTCATTAAAAAATGCACCTTATAAAAGTAATAATCTATATTTCTGACTCTCTGTGAACAAACTCACTGTAACCTTTTCAGTGTCAGCCTTTGATCTTGTTGGGGGGGACACTGAGCTCACACTAAGCTAGGGTCTGGGGTCCTCTCTATCTATTGCAGTGTGTGAATGTCATTGCAAGGCTGGGTGGGGTCAACTGTCCCTCACCCCTTTATGAGATGCAAGGCTCTGAGTTGAGTGCGGAAACCATTCGTTTATAAATCAACACAATTGTTAAAGGGGCCCTATTGTGCTTTTGGGGGGTTTTCCCTTCCCTTTAGTGTGTTGTATGTTTTTTGTGTGCATGTAAATGGTCTGCAAAGCTCAAATCCCAAAGTTTTTCTCCCACACAAACTCCCCCCTGCCTCCATTGGACTCCTTTGGACTCTTTTGTTTACTTCCGTAACATAATGACATCACTATGTAACACTTGCGCTTCTATTGGCTAGCTCTCTAACACATTGTACATGATAGGCTAATGGGCGGGACATCTCTAAGCTGTTGATCAATCACAACAGAGCTGGCCAGCTAACCAATCAGATCAGACTGGGCTCTGGTTTCAGACAGAGGGTGGAAAAATAAAGAGATTTTTGGCACGTCACATTGGAGGTACACAATATGAACCTGAAAATGAACATCATAGGGCAGCTTTAAGTAACTTTAGGTAGAGTTGAAGCGCTTTAGTTCTGAAGCAGGTTTTCCCTTAAGTTAGGGCTAGGGGATGCATTATGAGATAGGAGCCTCTCAATGGGCAGGCAGTATGAGAAAGATAAAGAGCTTTTTGAACATTAAAGCATGGAGACATGTCCCGGTAGAGTACACATATTAACCTGAACATGAGCGAAATAGGGCCCCTTTAATTTTTTACAAAAATGCCTACGATTTGCTGCCTCCTGCTTCTTGGTCCAGCTACCAAATGTCAGAGTTTGCACCTTTTTTCTTTTATATTTTCGTTTGTTTACTAAGATTTGTTTTCAGAATAAATCATTACATTTGGAGAAATGAATTGGTGGATTGATAATATTCTAAATATAATATTATTAAAGTTGTATCACTGACGAGGTTAATACTTCCTTTTAAAAAAAGAAAGGACAACTCTTGTTTGCTTGTGCACTAGATCTTTACATTTGCAAACATGTAACTTCTTTGTGTTTGTTTGCTCATATTATAGTGTCTCGTACTGTTACACAACACCATATATATTTGAAAAGTATTATACAAATATGCTGATACATGTCTGGTTTCGAATCAGTAGTATCACAATCATGAAACCACATCCACCATTTGCTGCTCAGCCTCTCTGCAGCCTTGAAGGAGAGGAGTGGATTTTATGTTTGAACCTCACTCAGCCTTCTTGTTCTCTTGTGATTGCAATAAAGGCTTGATTTCCAAACTCCAGTGAGTAGAAGCATCCTGTCTTTGAAGATAGAAGAAGTGTTTCTGTGTCTGATTCTCTCTGTGCTAAATAAAGACACTGGTCTGCCCGTCTCTGTCGGTCCAGTTTATAGTCTGTTCATTCTAACTGCTGTTAATAACAATATTCAGTTGAATATTAAAAATGTTATTAAGTGTTTACAAACATCTTATCCTTACACTGTGTTGACCAAAGAGAGGAGATAACAAATTACGACTGTTTGCCGCTTTTCTAAAATCTAATATGGTGTTTGAGTCTTCTGAGTCTAATGAGTCTTCTGAGTCTAATGAGTCTTCTGAGTCTAATGAGTCTTCTGAGTCTTATGAGTCTAATGAGTCTTCTGAGTCTAATGAGTCTTCTGAGTCTAATGAGTCTTATGAGTCTTATGAGTCTAATGAGTCTTCTGAGTCTAATGAGTCTTCTGAGTCTAATGAGTCTTCTGAGTCTAATGAGTCTTCTGAGTCTTATGAGTCTTATGAGTCTAATGAGTCTTCTGAGTCTAATGAGTCTTCTGAGTCTAATGAGTCTTCTGAGTCTAATGAGTCTTCTGAGTCTAATGAGTCTTCTGAGTCTTATGAGTCTAATGAGTCTAATGAGTCTTCTGAGTCTAATGAGTCTTATGAGTCTTATGAGTCTAATGAGTCTTCTGAGTCTAATGAGTCTTCTGAGTCTAATGAGTCTTCTGAGTCTAATGAGTCTTCTGAGTCTTATGAGTCTTATGAGTCTAATGAGTCTTCTGAGTCTAATGAGTCTTCTGAGTCTAATGAGTCTTAACATAAGTTTGTCTTCAGATTATTGAAAGAAGAAAAGGGAGGTACAGACACTTCTGTGTAATGGTTTTCAGTTCTTTCAAGAGAAATATTTTAAAACTCAAGTCAGGATGGACGTTTGTCATCTAAGTGTTTTCCTTGCTGCACATGTCTGCTCTGTCTTTGTTTGTGTGACCTAACACCCGTCACCCTTTTATCAATCTCTGTTTTGATGACTTTAGAGACAAAAGTCGAGTGCAAACGACTGGAAGCGGCCAGTGTTTCTTCTTTCTCCACTCAAATAAGTCCAACGTATGACAGACACAGTATAGCTCACCGCCCACCTGTCGGCAAATCACTGCTACATCAACTGATGCTTGTATTTGAATGTAAATGAACAACATATTGCACAGAGAATCTACCAAACAGTTTAACATTGATAACCTCAAATGTAAGGGATATTTCTACTCTAAAAATACAGGAATTCAGCTGAAAATGTTTGGTTGTTTCTGTTCATTTGTTTTATTCAGAAGACAATTATATCTCAAAAGACAATTACAATTTGTTTTGCCTCTGAAGGTCTTTTTAATTGTGTCTTTAATTTGCCTAGCCACATTTTTCTGCATCTTTCTGGCTTTTAAAAGGAATGATCTTTATTTCATAGTCATCTTAAGCATTAGGTTAAACATCATCTTAATGAGGCTTTTTATTTGGGATAATAAACAGTTATGCCAACTTACAGGCAACTTCTGTCAGGCTTTTAAAACGCCTCCAAAAGGATTGTTTTGCTTATACATCTCACCCTGAGCTTCACTCACAGCATATACACAGCTGGTGATCATCCTCTTGCTTACACCCACTAACCAGAGGCTCTACTTTTGGGATCACTGTTCAGGTGTGTGTGTGTGTGTGTGTGTGTGTGTGTGTGTGTGTGTGTGTGTGTGTGTGTGTGTGTGTGTGTGTGTGTGTGTGTGTGTGTGTGTGTGTGTGTGTGTGTGTGTGTGTGTGTGTGTGTGTGTGTGTGTGTGTGTGTGTGTGGTGTGTGTGTGTGTGTGTGTGTGTGTGTGTGTGTGTGTCACACCCTCACCTGCCAATGCCATTCACCCAATGGCCTGCTCTTCCTGCTGCTAGCAAAGGTATCTATTTCAACTCAACTGTGTGTGTGTGTGTCAGATTCACAGCATATCCATGTTATATTGCCAGTGTCTTTCTATTTGTTGTGTTTTATATGCTTGTCTGTTTTATTTTTGTCTCATGTCTTGAATTGTATTAATTACCATGTGTCTTGAATATTCTTAGGTTTATATTTTAATGTTAACATATATAAATTGTGAGTGTGTAGATCTGTTTGGGTTTCTGTGCACGTCCTCTTGTTTCACTTCAACATAATTAAATAGTTTCTTTATATACTTCAGTAGAACATGAACAACCAAGATCATCATTGAGTTTGACTGGCAACCTTTACAGCATTGTTTCTTAAAGTGGGGCATGCGGGTCAAGTGTGGCCCTTAGAAACATTTTGTGAGGCCCCTCAGCTTGACACAAAGGCACTCTTAATATTTAAATATATTGGAGTCAATTTCAATAATGTCTCTTCCAATATCTTGCACTTTAAACACTGCTTGCATCAAGTTTGAAATGAAGGCTCCCAGTTGTCTCAGTCATGGTCTCATTTGTTAATATCCTGAATCCTAACACAACCTTTAAAAATAACAACTTGGGCTGATAGTTATTAAATATGCGTACTGTAAAGCCATGTAAGAACACACTGTATTTAGAAATAACTATGCATTGCCCTGTATAATATTAGAATATAATGACTATTGGTGTTTGAGATAATCCTGAGTGTTGACCTATGGGGACTGTCTCTGCCTTTCAGTACCGGGCCAGATTACGCTCGCTTTTGAGTGACCGAAACTCCTCGTAAGTGACTGACCCTGGGTCTGTGGGTCTTCATGCAACCACTTCTTCTTCCAATGTCTCCATTATCACAAAAACTGCTTCTTCGTCGTGTTGGCTTTGGGTGTCGTGGAGTGGCTTTTGGGTTATTTCCTTTCTTTGTGTGATGTGATGTGACTGCACTCTGGTTGTGGGGTATACAACTGTACTTGTACATTTCAGGGAATGTATTGCATGTTTCAGCATTGTGTTTTACCTCCTTTTTCTTCTTTTGGCATGACTCATGAGATTTTCTGTGACCTTTTCTAACTTTCGCATCATGCATGGTTTGCATTCAGTCTTTAAAAACAAAAACAAGCTTCTTTACTGTATTTCCTCTCTTCCTCCCAGTGATGATCCGCCCATGGAGCCGCCTGTCGAGGCCCCAGCCAAACCGCCCCTTTCTGATGATGAGGATGAAGTGGAAGTGGAGGAAGAGCTGCCTGATGAAGCACACTACGACTCCTTGGAGAAGGCCTCCACCCCCCCGGTGGAGTACTGAGCCCTGCCTCAGGTTAAACTAGCTGCAGGTACATCAATGGTGCCCAACTGTAGCCCCTCGCCTCAGCTCTGATTCAACCACAGAACTAAATAGTGCTACTTTAAAAAAAAAAGAAATTACTATGACCAGCAAATGAACGGCTCAAACAACAAATCACATGTACAGTTATCTCTGTTTTAGTTGAGAGATCATGTGGTTAAAAGCTAGAATTGATTAATATTTGATCTTCCAGCAAGGAAAGCACTTTAAATTAAAATGTTCCCTGATTGTTATCCTCTGAGTTGTATTTCTGTAAAGGCATCTGCTCACATATGGGTAATATAATGGACATCATCGAAGTTATTTCACTTTTTTATTTTTGGAACATACACAGAGTGTGTGGGGTGATAGGAAAATAAGTTTTCCAGCGTGGGCAACTTGGGTTCTTGGCTCATTTGCAACGTATCTCTACCTAAACACTGATGACTGGCTCCTCTTGTAGACTCCATGGATCTGCAGTTGTTCTCTAAAGTCACGTGACAACATCTCTGTGCTTTTTCAAATGCAGCTTCCTCCCCTGCCTTGGCAACTGAAGGGCTTCAATGTTACGCTTCACATCTTGGCAGGTGTTTCACCTTTTTAGCCTCAACTGTTCACACTGCCTCCTCACAGGGCTAGCATACCAACTGGTGTTGGTGCAGAGGTATTGCACATATTAGTCTGGACCAAAGTGGATCATCTAAAATGGAAGAGATAATCTGAAGCACATAAGAGATTGTATACTAGCCAGAAATCTCCAGTATCTGTGGAATAATATTGGGCTCATTTATGGCATCAAAACTGATAAGCACACTACTCATAGTACTGTATGTTTAACTATTTGTATACTCACAGGAAATCTATATTCATTAATAACATTAATAAGCACTGCAGGTGTTTGTACCTATAATAATGTCCTGCCGGTTTAGTGATTACATGAATATACAAGCAGTTTGTAGGTCAATTAAATAATACAATCAATGAGTAATTGCAGCGTCTTTTGTCCTGGTTAAGATCACTTTGATGTAAAGTAGAGCAATCAGGATTACACTGATACAGGTTGGTATTCAATCTTGGCCGTTCTAAGAATAATGTTTTATAAAGAACTAATAAAGAACTGCCACAAACAGTGTCCTGTTCGAATAAATACATCCAATTGTGACTGTTGTCCGTGGAATAGCCAGAGTGACAAGCAAACCATTTCTGTAACAGAGGTTGCTGTTGGAATGTTCTAAAGATGAATATTTAATGGCTGTGAGCACTTCAAATGAAGTCACATTTCCCTCCATTGTTCGGAAACTTTTTTTAATGACACAAAATAATAAAAACCGGTTTCAGTGTAGCTCTGTGTTACATGAAGACTAATACAGTGAACATATGACTGACATTCAAACCTGTATCATGTGATTTATTGTCAAACTTTTTCTGTTCAATTAAAATCTGAGAATAAAGAATCAAGAGTGTACCCACTTGTCTTGTATTTACTCTTATACACAAATCACTACATTATATTTGTGTCTTTCACTATGGCATTACATCAGGTGATCAAAAGAGTCCCACATTCTAATCACTGTTAAGTTTACAAATACCTATAGACCTATAAGGAAATGTGACTTCATCAACAGCAAGTCGTCCATCTTTGGAGGATACTAGCGACCACAACCTATTGAATTGACCTCTACGGCTAACGAAGTAGCGTAACTTTTAACGTTTTTAACATCGTAGGTAGGCACTGTTATGACACTGGCTGTAACAGCCACTCCTATGACCAATACACAAACATGACATGACATGGGCCTTCAAATATTTAATATTTTCAAATTGCAATGTAGGACACTAATTCCAAACACCAAAAGGGCACCGACCTCACTAACAGTGATTGGCCCATTATTTTCTTGCTATCCAAAGATGGCTGTGATGCCCCAAAATAAAACGTGGTTCGTGTTCCCTATTGCAAAAATATCTACAGCAACAACATTTATTCCCTTTTTCCCTCTCTGTTTACAGGAAGTTGTGGAGCTAGGTGAGTGAAGGCAAATCACGTTGTCCTGAGTCATCCCCAGAGGTGGGAGAAGTACTCAGATCTTGTTCTTAAGTAAAAGTCTGTTACAAGTAAAAGTCCTGCAATCAAAATGTTACTGAACTAAAAGTACAAACGTTTTAGCATCAAAATACATTTAAAGTACCAAAAGTAAAAGTAGTGATTGTGCAGATTGGTCCATTTCAGAATAATATATATGATATGTTTTATAATGATTGATCATGAAAGTGTTCTCAAAGCTGGTAAAGGTGCAGCTAGTTTGAATGACTTTGTATACTGCAGGGTAGCTTGTGAATTTACTCCAGGTGGAACTAAAGTCTGATTTAACACTTGATTATATTTCACATCATTCATCCACATCTGTAAAGTAACTAAAGGTATTAAATCAATGTTGTGGAGTACACGATTTACCTCTGAATTGTAGTGGAGTAGAAGTACAAAGTAGCATACAATGGAAATACTCAAGTAAAGTACTACTATCTCAAAATTGTAGTTCAGTACAGTACTTGAATACATGTACTTACTTTCTGGTCATCCCCAATGTTTGTTTTTTGTATCAGTCAGATCAGGCTATTATCGGGTTAACACAGTTTAGTTTAATCCCAGCACAGACCTAGACTTATAAACACAAAACAATGTTGCCTCATCACATTCAATTAAAACACTTTTTCGATATTGCCAGTGAATTCTATTCTCTTCTCATGTGAACCCAAAGTACTCTAGGTAAAACACAATCAACAAATGGTGCAAAGATGTCTTAAGATGTGTAAAACAGACTTTATTTATATTTGATAGAAGGTACAGAAAGTAATGATGTGACCAGGTCAGTGTGGGGGGGCACATGTTACTGACGGTATCGCATGTTCTTTGTTACGACCAGGCCAAAGCCCCTGCTCTGCGTCTTGATCTCCATTGTGGGGTAAAAACAACCCACCTGTTGCCCCTGATCCACAACACAACATCTCTTTGGCAACAATAAAACACAAGAGACATGTTTTTGTTTTTTTAAATCCTCCCTCCTGTACTGGTACATTACATCAATACTCTTAAAAGTATTCTTGTCGAGATACAAAAATATTACGGACGGCTGTCTATATGGTTCTATGCAAACAAACACTAGACACTACATGTTGATCACAGAGCACTGTGCGCTCCAATATCCCATCAACACACCTTCCATTTCACTTCCTAACATTAACACACAGAAAGCAAAGCATTGAAACATATCATGATCATGACATCATTCCCCATTGCCTTTAACAAGCTGATCAGACACATTAGACTTAACACTTAACTCATCTATCCCACCTAAATACAATATGGCTCCATACGTTTATTTTTAAATATGTCAAGTGTTATTAAATCTCATTCCGTTTGACATTTGATGATCAGATTTGATTTATATGTGAAAAATTCACATAGTAACAAGTTTTTCTTGTGACTCTCCTTTCCAATCTGAAAAGGGTCAATATTTCAGCTTAATACCAAAATCATAGAACAAAAACTGCTCCAAACAACGTCAGTGTAGCCAATATAGAAACAGCAGACAGTAGCAATGAGCAATAGCTGAAACACACTAGATGTATAATGTGCTGATTTACATTATGTAACAGCATGTTTGTTCAGACAAAAGAAGAATTTAACAGCTTTTATTATTGTTGTGCAAGTTTGTATTTGAATGAATTGGCCTGTAGGGCTGGGCAATATGATGATGACTTAACAAAACAGGGCTTCTATCCTTTTTAAGGGTCCATTTATGCTCATTTTCAGGTTTCATCATTGTATTTTGTGCCTCTATTCTGATAATGTCCTTTCTTGTCTCATACTGCCTGTGATGCAGCACCTCTTTTCACCCTCTGTCTGAAACCAGAGCCCAGTCTGCTCTGATTGGTAAGCTAGACGACTCATTGGTCAACCGCTTAGAAACTTCCTGTCCCTTAGCCTCGCACGTATCATGTGGATAGCATTATCCAATAGAAGCAAGAGTGTTACGTAGTGATGTCACTATGTTACATAAGTAAACAACTACTACCCCTGTGATATCTGTGGTTTCAAATGCATTATGTTTTAGCTCAGCTGGAGCTTTGCATCAATGTGACGAAGAACCTTGACTTTTCAGATGTTCTAATCTAGACAGTTATGTATTGACTCACGATTCAAAGTTCTGTAAGAAGTACTTCAGCAGGAGGTACAGTATAACTAAACTGCAATATAATATTTCATGTGCTGTGATTAAGATGTCATACATATTGCCCACCCGTATTGGCCCCTATTAGAGAACTCATCCATCATGTAGCAGTCCATATCATGAATCATCAATATTGCTGAAAATGTGTTTTTGGCAGCAATAGGAAACATGACAATGGATTTCCATGACCATGTGTGCCCGACTCTCTTTAATCAAATAATGTTTAAAGATGATGTTTTCTTATACTTAAAACCATGCATTGCTATATTATAAAAAACTGTTTAATTAGTGAAGTCTGAAATGACTTCTTTCCTTATTGTCACTATAGTGTTTTTGATGTTTACAACAGGAGGGATTGGTTGTGATGGCGGTGCTGGCATTCCATTTGGTAGAGAGAATGAGCCACATGTATGTTAAAGAGTACAGTAATGGTCCTGATACAAAATAAATAGTCACAAAATATCACATTGTTCAGGTTTGATCAGCTGTTTCCACAGAAAAACATTCTGAAACCAGACATGACCCATCAAAATTCCCTTTGCTTCCTGCTTTCTTTTCCCTTTGTCTCTGAATGAACCCAAACATGAATATTATATTACTTGTGATACCTTAAGGATTCTTGTTGATATTTATTAAGACAAGCAAAGCAATTACCTACAAAGTACAAAGTCTGTGGAGCTGTACAGTCTTCAAAGTGCTGATCCTCTGTTGAAAAGCCAAAAAGTGGAGGTGTCTTTGCCAAGCGACCGTTTGCACAGTTCAACTTTCCTTTTCTCTAAGTCCAGGTGGTTTCACACTCTCATGAATGCTTCCTGTCATAAATTAAGAAGTGAAAAAGGTGGAATATGTGCTGCTTTCCAAAGGTATGTCCTTCCATTGTGTCTCTTTGATCCGAAAAAATATGCACAATTCAAAGTATCCCCTGCTTTCATAGATCTGTTTACATCATACACACAGTATATATTAATATTCTAATTTTTTATATATTAACCATTCTCTTTTCATTGTCCTAAACAGCTTAGGTCAGTAAGCACGACCTTTTCAAAAGTGTCCACAGGCGGTAAGAGGCACTGTCTTGTGTTTCTAAAACCTGACGTCAAGAAATAAATAAGAAGTCATGCTAGCAGGCCGAGTTGTTGTCACGGAGAGGCAGTAATTATCCACAGGTCATTATTCTTTGTCCCCATCCTCGCTGCTTCCTGCGAAACACAAAATGAGGCAAGGAGGTTTAATGAACACAATTCGGTCTGCGGCGATAAGCTGTTGCCAAAATAATTGCTTTTTTAATGGGCTTGTCACCCACATTGGTGGGCAGTCTAACACGAGAACAACGTAGCATCTTCGAAACAATATTATATATATGTCCATACCTGTTTCTGACTATGTTAGAGTAAGTCGAGGCATAAATAAAAAAACAATTTTAATTCAGTTATCTTAATATTTTGAAATAAAATGCACTCTAAATGATGGCCAACTCAACATGGTGTTGGTGTTAACTGTCTACTGTAGGACTGACTCCACATTCAGAATCACAAGTCGGTTATCTTCAAATATCAATGCTGACTTTTTTAGAAATGTTCTTTTTGTCCCTTAGCTCTGACATGCTATGTTTCCCAGTTTCAGTATCATCGATCATTCAGTCACAAGTTTCCCTGCAACCACTTCTATAAACTGCTTTCAATCTGTTCAGAAATTCGATCTCCTTTTCATTCCTTCATTATGTTTTATGTATAGGCTACTATGTAAGAATCAAGTCAATAAAACCTAGTCCTAGTGGTTATTTCAAAGGAACCCACCTCCTACAGAGTCCATATCAGAGTCCGAGATGTGTGTGATGGAGAAGCGGGACACGGTGGAGGGGGAGACAGTGAAGCGGGAGAACTGTACGGCTGGTTTGGGCTCCGGAGCTTTGGGGATGGAGCGTGGTGGGGGGGAGTCGGCTGCCACTGAGGATGTTTGCAGAGGAAGCAGGGGGAAGTCGTCCTCCCACTCATACCCTGCACCTGGGAGCAGACAATAAGATATTTAGGAAGGTATATTGCTAACTCAATTAGTTGTTATGGATGTAAAAACAAGCATCTTTTTATGTACTACATTGAAATGTTTTCTTGTACTTACTCTCTTCCGAGATGTTCCCATCTGAAGAGTCATCCGAGGCGTTAAGCCTTTCATGGGATTCGCTCCGTGAACTCTGTCCCTCTGATCCTAAAGGGAAGCCATGCTCAGCTAGCTCCTTAGTTGGGCTTTCCTAGTGGCAGTGAAGTAGAACACAATTATAAAGACTTGAGACTTAAACAATTCAAGCTGTATCATACATTGCTACCATTTCACTTGCTTTGTGTTATATTGCAGCTAATGTATTAGCAAACTGCAACATTAGCATGCTACGTCAGGAAGGTTTGTCTGCCGTTTGCCCAACAGAAAATGGCAGACAATACCCTTAATATGACATAAACACAAAAGCAATGAGTTCAAAAAGGTTAGAGCTGAATAATTGGTGATCATTTTCAATGAATGTTAAACTATGAGTGGCCTTTTCAGCCAGAAGCTAACTTGAATTTATGCTAATATCAAAAACATTGATGAAGGTTTTATAAGTTCAGAACAGCCTCTCTTACCTGATCAAATATGTAGACAGTGACATCATCAAAAAAGGACACCGTCTTCTTCTTGCGTTCAAGCTCCTCGTCCAGGTTTTCAGATGTCAGCAGGGTTGGCAGCTTCAGAAGGCTGCGCAGTTTGTGGTCCTGGCTGTTGTCACTCACCACGATGGGCACTGGGTGGCACTCGTCATCGCTCTCGTCCCCTCCGCTCTGTTCCTGCACACTGTAGCTTCGCAGCTCCTCATCCGACTCGTCGCTGTCATCGGTGTCCACGTCCTCCACATCCCCCTCTTCCCCAGACCTGTGGCCCTCTGTGGCAGGGACTGGAAGGGGAGGAGTGGATGGAGGTGGTGGAGAGGATGAAGAAAACCTCCTGGTGTTTGCCCTGTGCTGCAAGGCTACCTCGTCTTTGGGTAAAGAGTGAAGGATTTCACTGGATATCCCTGATGGCCTGTTGTGAATGATCTTGATCTCTGGCTCTTCTGTTGTTTTTAAATCTTGAGGCGAGTCTTCGGCTTCCTCCTCTACCTTGACAGTGGCGGTACAATCTTCGTTCAGGGCACCGATAGCCTCTTCCATTGCCCCCACAACTTCTGCTGCCCAGTCTCCTAAGGATGAACCCTCTTCCTGAGATGGCCATTCGTCGAGCCCACCTTCTGCTATTGAAACATTGTCAGAAGACTCCAGAGGTAGCCCCAACACCTCATCTAGCCCGCTCTCTACTGTCAAGTATGCAACCATCCCTGGTGGTGAATCCATTCCTCCTGTTGACATGTGTTCCATTTCAAGTGTTATGTCTTTGTTCACTACAGTGTCCCTCAGCTCTTCCTCATCCTCCTCATTTTTTCTTTTGTCACCCTTCTTTTCTCCCATGTGCTGTTCCTTTTCAACCATTTCCTCATGCCTTACTGTCTCTGAAAGTTGTTCCACGTCGTCTCTAGAATGCCTTTCATTCTCATAGTCTGAAAAGTAGGCCGAGTCTCTGTACGGAGTCTTATCACTAAGTGGTAAAAGGATGTGGTCGCCAGTCTGTGAGGCTCCTGAGGCCAAATCTTCCCCCAATGAGGGTTCATCCTCTGTGGGCACTACTTTATCCTCACCTCCATGACCCTCCAGCTCCTCCTCCTCCTCCTCCTCCTCCTCCTCCTCCTCCTCCTCCTCCTCCTCCTCCTCCTCCTCCAGGCTTGCGTCAAGAGTAGGCTTCCCCAACGGTTGTTCACGGGGTTCATGGGGCTCTTTGAGTACAAACTCAGGGCTTTCGTTATTTTCTGTGTCATAGCCACTGTCCATAGCTTTAGGTGAGCTGGAAGGGTGGGAGGACGCAGGGCTGAAGCCTTCACAAGACCCGGCGGCAGATGGCAGATCCATGGAATCCATGGAATCAGGAGTTCCTACCTGCTTCTGTATGGACTTGAAGGCAGGAGAGGCGTTCAGCTCGCTGGTATCATCTGCAAAGATGCCTGAGGTAACGTCAGTGATATCATCAGTGTTGTCATCCTCCTCCTCGTCATCACTGCAGTCGAGTATGTCAGCAAGACTTACACTGGAGCCTCCTCGGTCGACACCGCTGTCACCGTTTTGACTAATCTCAGACTGTGGATCTGTGAGGGCCACCATCACATGCATGTTGTCAGCTGGAGGGGGAGTGGTTATAGCCGTTGCCAGGCTCACTTCTTCCTCTATAGGTTCTGTCTGTCTTTGAATGATTGAATTTTCCTTGATTACATCCTCCCTCTTTTCTTTGAAGTGTGAATCACCCGTTGTCAGATCAACATAATGCTCTTCTCTGTCCTCACTCTTCATCAAGGCAGGTTTGGCCACAATGGGACCCCCTGGAGCTGGTGATAGATTGATCATCTCGTCATTGCTTGGGGTGTCAACGGCCTTATCGCTGATGTAGCTGCTGTGAGTGTAGCTGTGACTGTAGCTGTTGTTTCTGACTAGCAAGCCTGTGAGCGGGTCAACAAAGTGCGCGTGGCAACACTCTCCAGATGCCGGCACCTGAGTCTCACTTTCATGGCACAGGTAGAGATAGGGGTTGCAGTTGTCTGATGGCACCATTGGGGGATGTTTACTCAGGCAAGCACTGTTATCTTTTACCTGTTGGGGCTCAAGGTATTCAATGTGTTTGGGAAGCGAGTGGAAGGCCAGGCTTTGCTCCTCCGGCCAGGAGTCTTCAATGTCTGTACTTGGCATCGTGTAGTGGAAATCTACGTAAGCATCCTGTCTGCAGCTGTGGCTAGCGCGTCTTTGGTGACTGCTGTGGCGGTGTTTTGAAGGCCAAGTGTTGCAGGTGTGTCTCTCAACAAATATGTCCTCTTCTTCTTCCTCCTCTGTGTCACTGTCTCTGTGCCCGATGAAGAGTGCCCCCTCCGTCTCCATGTTAATACTGACAGAGTGGCTGTTATGCCTGGTGTGGCTGGGCATCGTCTTCCTCAGGGAGCCCATCATGTCGTAGTAGCCCCCTGTCATGTTCTTTCCTATGATGGAGTTCTGACTTGTGTTCAGATATGGGTCTCTGTAGGCCTGTTGAGGTGCACTGCCTACGACGGGGGCTACACCTAGCGGGTTATCAAACTCCCCCAACGCCTGGCGCAGGCTCCTTGACCCCCAGCTTTCCTGATGGCGCTCACTGGAGGACTCATGTCCAATAAGATAGTGATCCATCCCCAATGGCGGTGAGTGCTCATAGTAGTAACCCCCATCTCTGTCTTTATAGGACACGTAGTGACTAGACTCCCAGGGTTGCAGTGGGCTATTGTCCAGAACTTGCCCTAAAAGGGGCTCCATTGTCAGGGAGATGGCAGGACTTGAGTCATTTGAGTCGTACATATCAGACTTATTGATATCTGCTGACCAATAGGGATCCATGTTGTTGTCCTGTGACGGGCAGACCATGCACTCACCTGAGTCTGCACTTCCTGTCAGAAAGCTCCCACTGCTGCCCTGGTAGTCTGGGCTGTAGGGGCACATGGTGTAGTCCAGATCAATGTTACAGTCTACTGGCTCTTCAATGCGGATGTAGTATTCACTGTTTACTGAGGGGCTATGGGCACTAAGAACGGGGAGTACGCCTGGAGCATGCAGATGTTTGGATTGGTAGTAAGGAGAAACTCCATGGCTTCTCTCCATGGGGCAGCCTCCCACAATGCCCCCGGGTGGGTAAAATGCTTCCTGATAATGATGGTTGACCTGACTCAAGGCACCAGAGGAGTCTGGGGCTCTATACGACTGGTTTGCTCTGGCTTGTTCCCATTTGTACTCAAAGTTTAGGCCGTGGCTGGTCTCAGTGACTGTTAGTATATCATCTCCAGACTCAGAGTGGTAGCCATCAGCAGCTGAAAATTGCTCAAGGAGAGGGAAAGATGAGGAGGTTGGGGAGGGGTGGGTTTGTGACATTGCCAGGGCACATCGGTGGCTGTTGAATACGGTGTTGGGGCGCAGGGAGTTCCATCGCCTCTCAAAGTCCTCTTCGGCCTCACTGGCCCCCTTGGCACACAGGTAGCTGAGCAGCAGGTGGACTTCCTCTGCAGTAGGTCTCTGGTCAGGTTGGAGCCAACAGAACTGCATCACCTCATACCTGAGGGATCCAAGCATAACACAAGTCATATACACATGTAAGAGAAAACAGGTAGTTCCAGCAGATAACACCAACCGGTGCAATATATGTAATGTGCCTTCAACCGACCAAGAAATTAAGACAACAACAATTTTTTGAAAGGGAATCAAAACCAGTAGAATAAGCATAATAATTAGAGCCTGTAGAATAAATGAGAATCAAATTATCATAGAAGGAATTAGCATGTGTTGCTTTGAATGTGTTCAATGTAAGAACTGTACATGCTTTGAACTTGTTTCTGGTCCAGGCTCTCGTCATCTCACGCCTAGAGTACTGCAACTCCCTCCTGGCTGGTCTACCTGCATGTGCCATCCGACCTCTGCAGCTCATCCAGAATGCAGCGGCTCGTCTGGTCTTCAACCTTCCTAAATGTTCCCACACCACACCGCTCCTCCGCTCACTTCACTGGCTTCCAGTAACTGCTAGAATCCACTTCAAGACACTGGTACTAGCGTACCATGCTGTGAATGGATCTGGCCCTTCCTACATCCAGGACATGGTTAAACTGTACACCCCAGCACGTGCACTCCGCACTACGAGGGGGACCCAAGTTCCCATCAGCAAAACACGTCGGTTTGCTATCCTGGCTCCAAAATGGTGGAATGAGCTCCTCATTGAC